TCATGGAAGGAAAGTTTGTACTTGAGGATCTGAGATTCTCCGTTTCTTGGGGAAAAACACCGGCGATTCGTCCTGACTATCATCTGCCAATCCCCATGGAATACATCGATTAATAAAATAGGAAATAAAAAATTTCACCCTACCGAAAAGCGAAAAATCAATTACAGCGCAACTTACCGTCGAGGCAAACGACGCTGTACGGCTGAATCCGCGTGTAATCAAAGAGGGGTTCGAATTCTTCGTTCGAATTGTCCTGCGAAAATCGTAAAACACAGTCGATTTTATACAGGGAAAACCAAACCCTACGGACGCGTTCATATAACAATTGGAGGAAAAAGCTACAAATAATGGTAAAGAGAATCGCACCATTGATGAGAGTATTCTTCTCTATCTCTCTCTAACGCACCGGCGTTGCTTTCTCTCTCTAGATATCTGAACGAGTAGAGACGAATCGGAGGTGGATTTGCAGTGCGTGTGTCCCGCCGCGCCACTGTTGTCTGTTGGATTCGGAGTTCGTAATTTCAAATCGTTTGGGAAACTTATTAAAAATAAATAAATAAATAATGGACAAAATTAATTGCTCCGTTTGGCTAGGAAGAAACGACGCCGTATTCACAAAGACGCAGTTACTATAGTTAAAAAGCGCTTTTCTATTTCTCTTGGTTTTCTGTTAAGTCGCGCATCCAATGCACGGCTGCCATGTGGCAAGCCGTTGGCTATAAATAACGGAACAGCTGAGCTAATCAGCTGTGTGCTGAGTTTATTTGTGTAAACTCAAACTGTAAACACTCATTTTGAAATCAATAAAATCTCCCTCCAATTTCTCTCTAAATCTGATCGGAGCTCCGATCGTAACAGTAAGAAACGATGAATCTGTAAATTGTAATAATGGGACTGTTCAAAAACAAGCTACTACATATGCAGTGGCGAAGCCAACATAAGGTAAAGGGGGGGTCATGGCCCCCCCAACAATTTTCAAATCTCTGTCAATTTATATAAAAATATAAAACTTGTGTACATGTACACTAGCATTTATGGGTCCCTTTAGATTTTTTTAAATGCATTCGGCCCCCTCGGACCGGAAATCCCGACTCCGCGAATGTGCATATGGCTATTAAAAACACAAATTGAGGATGGAAAATTCATTTATAATAAATATTCCATTAGAGAACAATACAATTGAAACTATAACTTACAAATAAAAATGGACGTGGGGTGGGGTGGGGTG